GGGGTCGTATCACGTGAGAGGAGCGTGTGCCAGGCGGCAGCGGCGGCGGGAGCATGTGGCACTATGAAGCACTATGAGGTGAGGAGACGGCGGTGGCGGTGGCTCCGCAACGCCTGACCACAGGCACCCCTTAACCCCCGCCGGCCCCCCGCAGCGCTCCGTAGGTGTTTACTGCGCGTGCGCGAGAGTTGCCAGTAGGCGCTATTGCGCACGCGTGGGACGAGTGGGCGCGGGAACGCATGCGCGACGTACGAGAGTGGGGCGGGAGAGGAGAGGGGGCATGCGCATGTCATCTAGCGATGGAGCGGTATATGCCCCTGAGTTTACCGAGTGGTGGGGGCAGGGAGAGCGCGCATGCGCACGGGTGGAGCAGGGGTTGCCTGTATTTATATCTTCGTAGGCAAGGCAGGGGGCACTTGTTAGGGGGCGCAGCCCCACCCCCGCCCTTCTCTGGTTGCAGGCCCTTGATTATTGCAGTTGCCAGCTCCAGCAGCTTGCATGCCCCTGACCTCCCTTCCCCTCAGCAGTGGGCAACCCCAGGGTCCCAGGTTCCTGCTGCTGTTTTTGGTCACTTCCCTGCTAGCTCACTAGCAAGGCCTTGTACTGCCCAAAACCGCCTTGTGCCTGTGGTCAGACTCTGGCAGCTTCAGCCCTTCCCCAGCATCCTCCCTGACCAGCCTGTGTAGAGGGGGATTTGGGTTCTGAGGCTGCTTTGGGCTGTGGGGATGCATCCTATGATAATTTCCCATCTCTGTTGGGCTGGATTTCTGTTTATGTTCCCTTGAGCCATCCAGTGTCTCAACCCCGCACCTTACCTCCCTCCTTCAATGAAAAGTGCCTTTCCTGGGGAAGAGGAGTGGATTCCTGTAATGTTTCCAAGTACAGGCATTGCTGATGTCTCTAGAAGGAAATTTCAGCTCATGGAGTGATTTCTAATGAAATGTGGATAGGCTTTTACTGTAACTAGCATGAATGCCACATATCCTAGGGCATTCTTCATAAGAGGTGGCATGGCCCATTGGCTTTAATCAGATACTTCCCCTCCCACCACTGGAGGTGGCTGCATCTCAGTGACTCTGGGTGAATATAGTAGGAGTGCTTTGGGGTTTTCCTCAGAATAAAAACTGCTCATATGAATATAAAGTTATTTATATTTTTCTCTAAAATGTTTTGAAAATGCTAAAATTCTCTGCCTTTGGAGTGATGTGTCTGGAATGAGTGTGTGGACTACATGCTAGTCTAGAAAACTGTTTGAGCCTGTAAAGAGAGGTTGCTGAAATCAGCTTAGAGGGCCTTGGGAGAGGAGGTCACAGCAACCCATGCACCTGTCCTGTAAATGGATATATGCCCAGATATGCAGGGCTATTAATATTGGCCATAAGTACAGCTCTCACAGCAAGCTCAGCACTTTGTCAAGCACTTTACATGGCAAAGTGTCCCACCAGAATATTGAATACAGGGCATGAAGTAGGAGGTTTAATAACCCCCCATATGTGCTCTTTTGATCTGGGAGAAGAATCTGGAGTGTGGCAGGCCATCCTGCAAACTGAACATTGTACTTCTGACTCTCCCCACCATGAAGGACAGATGCATGTGAATGGACACACTTTTCCGGATTCGCTGACAAGGGCAAAGCTGGTTACTTCAGGCTGGTCAGCTAATGTCAGTAATGGTTTTAACATCCTCTCTTTATCCCTATTGACAATGGCAGCCGAAACTTTTAAGCCCATGCAGTGATTGTGACAGCACAGCCAGGGTTCCCCCGCCTCCTGCGAACAGACTCCGCCAGCCAGTAGAACAGAGGGAGTTTATTGCTTCTCCAGGATACAGCATAGGTGTAATCTGGTTACAGGGCAGGCCTAGGATGCCTCAGCCCCCCCTTGAGATGGGGGAGACTGGGCCCCTAAATCCCAGCCCGTTGCTTAGGCTGCCTCCTCCATGATTCCAGACAAACTAAAAACTCTCTTCCAGCCCTGCCCCCCAGCCAGGTTTTGGTCTCCACCTTCCTTCTTTTGTCTCCCTCCCTGGGAGGCTGAGCCTGGGTGTCTGGGTTAATACACATTTGGAAGAGTCAGTGAGACTCTCCCATCACAGCGCAGGAGGACCCCAGATCACAAAGCAGACAGCCCCCCACTACGCCACAATGACCCCTTGACAGTTGAATGAGTAAGGATACAGGTAGCTGAAATCTGCAGGCACATTTAGGGTTAAATAAAGAGGTGTAAAGTTTGTGCTGCTCCTAGCAGTTTGGGCTGCTATCTGCCCGTATATCTGAGAGGACAAAGATCTACTACATCAAACCAGTGTGGACATTTCTTGCTTTGCTTGTCTTGCTGCCTTATCAGACCTTTGGGTCTCTTCTCTGAGCATAGATCTTTTCATTTCTATCTGTTTCCCAAAGCCTGGGGTTCTGGGATCTCCCAGGCAGGCAAGACTACCTCAAGATAGCTGTATTTGGAGTTCAAGAAACAGGTACCTGTGTATCACTTTCTATCACCCCCTGCAACTAGTTCAGGAACCCTGGCTTGTCCTCCATGTTGATTGCCTTAGTGGGACCGTCACTAAACATCTTGTTATGTGGCTCCCAAGCTATGTTAACAAGCACCATGGATGATGTTCCCTCTAAGGCCTTCCATCCATGAGTGGAATACATTTTGTTATGTGCACTAACACATGTGCAGCTATGCACCACTGCTACGTCTAGACTGGCATGATTTTCCGCAAATGCTTTTAACGGAAAAGCGTCTTTGCCAATCTAGACACGGTTTTGCGCAATAAAGCCCCGATCGCCTTTTTTGCGCAAAACAATACCACGTTGTCTACACTGGCCCTCTTGTGCAAAAGCATTTGTGCAAGAGGGCTTTTGCCCGAATGGGAGCAGCATAGCATTTCCGCAAGAAGCACTGATTTCAGACAGTAGGAAGTCAGTGTTCTTGTGGAAATTCAAGCAGCCAGTGTAGACAGCTGGCAAGTTTTTCCGCAAAAGCAGCTGTTTTTGTGGAAAAACTTGCCAGTCTAGATGCAACCCACAAGTAGAAACATGTTGCCGGCTGTGGGCGCTCTGCTGATCAGCTGGGCAGCATTTGAATCTCTCCTGGGTGGACGTCCAAGTGCTTTGCAGATCCGCCTTTCCCCCCTTGCTGCCTAGCAGCCAGTGTAGACAGCTGGCAAGTTTTTCCGCAAAAGCAGCTGTTTTTGTGGAAAAACTTGCCAGTCTAGATGCAACCCACAAGTAGAAACATGTTGCCGGCTGTGGGCGCTCTGCTGATCAGCTGGGCAGCATTTGAATCTCTCCTGGGTGGACGTCCAAGTGCTTTGCAGATCCGCCTTTCCCCCCTTGCTGCCTCCTATA